GGCATCCCTCGCCTCTCCCCACTAGATTCGCATGGCACACCCCCTGCCAAGTCCAGCTGTGAACACAAAAATGTCTCTACACGTTGAGAAATGGTCTCTCGGTGGCAAAACTGGCCCTGATTGAGTAACACAGCAGTCAAGGTTTTTATAAAATAAAAGAGAATTTGTGGGCTAGCAAAGTTCGGTGCTTTGTGGGTACCTAATGAATCATGAATTCTAGCTTCCTTTTCTTGCTTTCTGTCATCATCCCCATCGCCATTTGCTCACCTTCAATAACCCATAGTCCATGAGATATTCTGGGGTCCCCAGGAGAGATGCCTCTTTCTCAAATGCCCTGGCAGGAAGCAAGCTGTAATACTCAAGGAAATGAGACTGTGGAACGTTCTCACACTCTGCAGTCTTCAGAAACCTCAATAGCACTGGCCCCAGTCTAGCCCATCCCACAATGTACCTTCATCCCTTATCTGACGCTTCCGTGGAAAATATTTCTCTACCAATGACAAGACCCTAATAAGTTGATATCAGTACTTTAAACATATCACTAGAAACTGATAAAGTTAATTTGTATATTTAGACCCAGAAATGAAGGCTACCCCATGGCCTGACCCATCTCATAAATCTAAACCTAAGTCTGTGAAACATAAATGAAATAGGTATGGAAATCTGTGAAGGAATCTTCACATACAGCAATCACAGTTCTCCAAGCAGCTTTAGACAGCTCACCTTACCCCAGAAGCAGGAGCTTCTAGCCTTATGCGGAGATCCCTGACCTCCTAGCCGACCGTGTCCTGTTTCCATGAGGCCTCATCCGACACTCTGTGGGACTTGTCCTTGCCCCAGGTCCCTGTGCTCTACACTGTATCCCCCAGTCCGTGGATCGCTTTCCCCTTGAATGAAGAACATCAAATTTGTCACTAAACTGTTTTAGTTTTGTCATTTGACAGTTTTCATAATGAGAATGGGATCCAAAGCGAGCCCCTAAATGCTTCTGGGTCAGCTCTTAGATGTGTGTATCTTAAGATACACACAGAGCCTTTTTGGGGTGCTGTCTCTTCCACTGCTTTCCAAGATCTCTAGTAAATGTTTCTCAGATATTTGACCTATTTTCACATTCTGAGTTCTTCAAGTTTCTTTGTTCTAATCCTTCCTGGTAGAAAATTGGGGTAGGAAAGACTCTAGATTTTTCACAGTGAGACTTAAAGGGCTCCAACATTTGGGTTTGTGGCCAACCTCAACTGAAAGGTGAATGCCTGTGGGAGGTACTGACAGGTTCAGGAACTGGGCTGAGGCAGCTGGCAACAGCATGTCTGGTGGAATTAATGAGGATTATTTCTACAAGGGAAAAATGATGGGTACCCCTCAATCTAAAGAAAGCTTGATGGCAGCCATTAAGGGACTCACAAAGCCCTGAGTTAAGTCCACCGTCATAAACTGCTGGGTACTTGGGGAAACAATTAAGACAAAAATTTAGACTTTTTTGATCAACAGCACATCAAAATCTAAGTAGGTGCAAGTTGGGACTATTAAAAGCCATTAGTGTCTGCCACTATAAATAACTATTCTCATGAAAGGAATAATAGATCTATTGCTAATAGGAATCTTGGAAGCCAAAGCTGCAAAACTGGTGGGCATGGTTCAAGCACTTTAAAGCTGTTAAAGTGCTCACCACCTTAACCCTAAGGCTCTCATGCTAGGATAAATTGGTCACAGAATGGGTTCAATCAACACTAGGTCATCTACCAACCTCAAGAAAATTTCTATGCAACAAGGTAAACTAAAATACCACACAATTTCCAAAAAAGCAGCACATCTGTCTTAGGTATGAATTTGCCTCTAAGATACCCAAGGCTTAGCTAAAGAAGTAAGATCTTCAAGTTTCAAAAAATTAAGCAAGCCACCTTCTAGCACCTGCTTATTTTATGTCAAAGAACTGTCATCCTTGAAGCTGTTGAATCTACAGAAATGACAAAATCTTATTAAGACAACCTAGAATTTAAATAGCCATTATGTGGAACATTCCAACTAGACAGGATCGTATATTTAAGATGTGCACTTGAAAGTAAGGGTTCCCAAATCAAACAAACAGCATGGGATACCTAATTTAATTGGCATGCAGAAGCTTCCAGAAGACTTAAAGACTCCAAAATAGCTTCACTGAAAGATTCATTGCAATAGCCTAATGAAAGGCCAAAGACACAAGAGGTACCTGAGTCAAAAACTGTAAGGCTGATGTGAGTCCTTCTCCTTGCCTCGGTCTTCCTTTACCTGAGGAAGGTTAGATCATAGTCTGTTAATCCCCATCTGAACTGCCTTTCCACTCTGAAGAGACTACAAGACTGTAACCAAAGCCTCCCCATATCTACCCTCAAAGGGGGACCCCCATATGGGCCTTCCTCAGCACAGTTTCTGAACCTGTCAGTACCTCCCACAGGCATTTACCTTTCAGTTGACGTTGGCCACAAACCCAAATGCTGGAGCCCTCTAAACCTCACTGTGAAAAATCTGACAGGACTCCGAGGGACTGATCCTCTGGTAAACTGCTACCAGTTACTCCCTTAAACAGTCAAGGGAAACTAAAATTAAAATTAATGAAAATCCTTGCCAAATTCTGATAGATACTGAAACTACCGCCTACTTTAAACCCTCTCATTCCAGAACTTACAAATGGGATCCAGGGAAAACTGACAGAAGCTAGTGAAGGATAAGAATTCTTACCAGAGCAGCTCTCCCGGATCTAACGCCTGTGAGAGAGGAAAATACAATTTCAGGTTGGCCTTTCCTTGGCAAATTCAGACTTTTGTGAATTTGGTTCTGGGGTACCCATTTGTTGCCAATTCTTTCTTTTCCAGGGACAGCTATTGCCCCCTTGTTTGTCTCATTTTGTGTCCTGAGAGCTTGACTTGACACCCATCAAGTTGAAGCCCCCAGGATGTGGTCGGACAGAAAGGTGGATTGCACCCCATTTTCAGCTGCGGTCCCACTGAGTGTCACCAGCTTTAGGGGAATTGTCGAAATCTTTCTTTTTTTGGCTATCTTTGGGAGTGGCTCTGAAGCTTCGCATCCAGAAAAAGGTTTAACGTCTTTTGCACCCTCTCTGGGCCTGCCTTTTGGGTCCATAGGGCTGTTCAATACTGCCAGGAATATTTGCTGTTTGTCCCAGCTGGAACCTGACAAGGTATTTGCAAGAACTTTTTAAAAGTATCTCTATAGTCAGAAGTTGGACAACTTGGATGCTGTACTCAGAGCCTGATATGAAGTCTTTTAAAAGGCCTTGTCCCCTGAGCTAAATGAAACTGTGTACCCAGAGTTTGTGTCCAAAGACATATAGCTATAAATCTAGAACATAGGATTCTTTTAATTTCTAACCTAGCTGGAGATCTTCTCCTTGATATAAAGAATCCAATTGAAGATAATATAGGTGGATGGGTGGGCCCTTTTATGCCCACCCTTTTATGTCATTCATGTTGCATCCCAAATCTTTGAGGAATTAAAAACAACTGTCCTTGCCTTATAAATGTAGCCTTTACAAGGGCAGAAATGCAGCTCTGGAAGCAATTCAAAGCTCATTTATCCTTTCTGCCAATCCCAAAACCTCTCCTAGTCATTTCAAAATGCTTGTAGGTATTATTATAAAATTCCGAATTAAGGAAACCGACGTCCTCCTTGGAGGAACTTGCATTCTTCCCCTGTACCTTTGAGAGATAAATAGTCCACCCAGTCTTCTCTGGGAATTCCTGTCTGTATTTATCTCTTTGAAATTCAAACTTTAGGGAGACAATTCTTTTTTTTTTTTATGCGTACTTCACAATTTTTTTGGGGGGGTACGTACTTCACAACTGAAAAAAGGCTTCACTTGACATCCTATACAAATGCTAGAGACCTCAAAATCAACCTTACTAGGATGAGAAACTGCCTGCGTCATGAAGTAGGCTGCTGCCACTCAAGACATTGGAACAATAACCCTGGTCCCTTCCCCTCTCGTCATGAATCCCTTTCTTCCCTTTGCATTGGCTTTACCATTCTTCTTTCTCTTATCGTTAATGTACAGTTACTTGAACAACATTATGATTACTAGATTTCCCCCTATTATCAAGTCCCCCCCCCCACCATACCCCATTACAGTCATTGAGGGAGATCATTTTTATCAAAAAAGAAAAGGGAAAGGCTATTTGGAAACTAGGCAAATGAAAAATCTTGAAAATATTCAAAAATATTAGAAAGAAGTTTCAGCTATCTGAACAGTTAACATTAACTTATTCCATCCATTATAAACACAGTTTGAGTCCAACCGATGAGTTTTGCATTATCATGGCTGTCTCATAGCTGAAATTTAAAAATGAAAGCTGTAAGATCTCTGCTTGCATCTGTCTGTATGTTTATGTATGTCTACATATACATGCATTACAAGTATGCCATTTATTCTACCTTCAGATGGTATTGCCAAAATTAATTGACAATTATATCTATTAATTGATATAAAGAAGAATAATTGCTTGTATCAATCAAGCATACTCTAAGAAATATGGACATTAACTCAGATGTTTTTCAAGTTCACATGACCTAGGATGATCTTTGGTAAATAAAAGCTAGTTTATTTTACCTGCTGATTTAGTTAAAACAAGCACGTCTTTAGAGTTATAAGCATTAAATATAATACTTTTATTCTACCTAGCTTTACTAAAAGTCAAATAAGCTACCTGTTATAGAATTTGTCAAGAAGACAGGAAGCTTTCATGAATAATCTAAATGTAATTGTTAAGAACAATTAATGTAAGGTAAAATTTTATAAATGAACTTTTCAAGAATAATTATGCTTTGTTGTATGTCTACATGAAAATAGTTTCCAAGATTTTTTGGTAATCTGAAACCTTAAAGTTTTACAAGGTAAGTTAAATGATGGCTATTCATTAAATATCGAAGTCATTTTAAATAAGAAAAAACAAGGAATCATTAATTACTGATTAATTAAGCAATTAATTATTAATGATTAATTATTCACTTTTAGCTTCCTTTTACAGAAGAACTAAAGCCATTTGGGTCTATTAGTAAATGTGTTTTGTGCCACATAGGAAAAATTTACTATGAGGAAAAATATACTTCTACAAATTATGAAATAAATTTGTAAATTTACCAATCCATAGAATTCTAGTGTAACTAATGGTCTGAAATTACTTACTTCTTAGTTTTCACTAAGAATTCTAAGCAATTCACCAGAATTGTAAGGATTGTTATGAATTCTAATTAGTATATATAATTACCACTACCAGAAATAATAAGGGAAAATTTCTATGCAAGGATAGTTTTAGTATACAAAGCAGAATGTGTATTGGGGAAGAAAAGGTATGAGACATAGAGTTGTGTTTTTGGTAAGGGAAAAGTAGAGTAATTTTGTCCTACAGTAAAATGATTGTTCCATAATGAGAAAGAGTTAAAAAAAAAGGACAAAACCTGAATGGATATTTTTAAAAGTTGTAGAATGTTTGAAGAACAAGAACCTTGGGAAAGGAATTTTAGTTGTGGCCAAGCTAGCTAAGATTGAAATGGATCTATTTAAGTTTTCAAAAAAAATAATTTTAATATAAAAAATACACTGGTGCAAAAATAGAATTTGGTTTTCTCTCTGTTAAGAGGAAAAAGTTTTCCTGGACAGTTGGTCTTCTCTTAATTCTTAATAGGAGATTGTGAAAGTTTGTGGAGGTTTTGGTGATTTGTTGTTCATTTTATTTACCTTTTGGGTAATCTACCTGGAGAGCAAACATTTGTGTCTTACCAAAATTATTTCCTGTGCTTCATGTTGTCTTTATCAAGTCTTCGGTTACTTAAGAAAACCCAGTCTTCTCAACATTAGAAGTTATTTTTTTCACAGCTGTGTATCCTTCTGTATTTGCCTTTAAAATCTTCAATTGTTTTTTGTTAAATAGATAATTAAGTATTATTTCATAATGGTCTATGATTCTATTTAGTCAAATGTTCAAATCTTTTGCCATTTTGACAACTTCCAAAAATCAAATTCTAAATGTCTTTTTGACCTCAAAGTAACACTGAGATTTCCTAGAGGGTTCTTGGAAATCTCAAAAGATTTGTCTCTCACCTTGTGCTGTTGAACTAATTAGGTTTACCTGGTATGTTAAATTACATGGGAAACACTGTCAAATAAAAGTGATGATAAGCTTCTTGTGCTATGTGCAGATGGACATAAGTTCCTAAAATAAGTATTCCTACGTTGTTTAAAGGTTTCACGCTTCTAGAAATTTGCCAATACTCTCATCCAATTATTCCAAATCATTGTTATGCCACATAAATAGCGACATTTCCTTATCAAATGAGCCCTCATCTGATCTTTATCCATGGACATTTTAAAGTCTTTTGTCATTTATAGCCATTGTTTTACTCTGGCATATTTGCAAAAGTAAGACTCACGGAAAGGACTCTCCCAAGAATTCTTGACCACTGACACTGCTGCCAAATTACAAGGTGCAGAAATTTGGGTGCATACTTACTAGGATGAGAAACTGCCGGCATCATGAAGTAGACTGATGCCACCCAAGACTTTGGAACAATAACCCTGGTCCCTTCCCCTCTCATCATGAGTCCCTTTCTTCCCTTTGTATTGGCTTTACCATTCTTCTTTCTCTTTCTTCTGCTTGGAAAAATAATGCTATCCTTTGTATTTCTGGGGGTCTTGTAAAGGAAGAAAGCTGCCTGATTATTGGGTTTTCCATGAAAGACCCTACTTGGCCCATGATGCTGGTCATCCAGTATTTTTGCCTGGTATGAACCTCTCTCTGATTTCCAATGCCTCAGTTTCTCTGGACCAAATGAAGCCCCCTCTATATCATGTCAGACTCCCTAAACCTGACCCAGCAATTACATGCCTCCACTTAATAACTAATAGAAAGAGAAATCAGAACAATACTGTCTATGCAGTCTACAGATTCTTAAATCTTACCAGCTTCCAATTCAGAGCCTTGGCTGACCACTTTGCACTCCTGTTCCAGTAGCCTCCATCACAGGTATACCTTTTTTGATGGCTCTGCCTATGGTCCTTCTGGATTTATCTTTACCTTTGGAGGACTACTGCCCCTCATGAAAGGAAGCTTAATGTTTAAGTAGATGGGAAATGGTGGGAAGCTGTGGTCTGAACTGACTATTCACATCTCTGGCTGTCGCTAAATAGACAGGCTCCACATTGGGCTGCACCTCTCAACCTACATTACAGACTCAAATGGGAATTACCAGGAGGCTTTTATGATTCAAAATTCACTTCCTTTGGCAGACACCTACTCCCCTGGCTAGGAATAAATGTAAATGATCAGCAACCTCTCCTTCACTCTTGAGGATATGACTGAATCTGCTGCTAAAACAATAGTTTCCCAACAAAAATACCTAGACTGTCTGGCCAAAGTTGTTTTGTCATGGGACAGTCCATGATTTCCTTTTAGCTAAGCAAGAAGATGTCTGTGCTGTGGCCAACATTACTTGCTGCACTTAATTAACAATTCTGGTAAGGCTGAGACTCAGCTACATAAGATCACTGAACAAGAGACTTGACTTAATAAAGTCAATCCTTTGATGGGCCTTTCTCTGATCTGTTTGATCTAAACTGCCTTGAGTCATGGGGACTGGCTTTGGCGTGCCCCTCACAGGTTGGGTTATTATTCTGCTTATAGTCATTCCAGTAGTCTGCCTGGGGCACCGTATTCTCACAAAAAGCTTTAAATGCGTGTGTGCGGCTGATGGTGACCACACAGATGACCTTCCTTCCCCGAGAATGTCAAAAAGCAGGATTGAGAAAACAGCCAACTAAGGGAACTGAGACTTAGATACCCTAACCTATGAATTCACATCCAATCGAGAGATTAAAGCTGGCTTCAATATCAACAGGTAGTTGCTCAGAGTGACATTAATACCTTGAATTTTTATCAATACTTTCAGTACAGCTGACAGTGTGATCAAAAGGGAGGAACTGATAAAGTTCATTCATATATTGGGGCTCACAAAACGGAGGCCGCTCTGGCCTGACCCATACCACAAACCTAAGCCTAAGTCAGCCTGCACTTCCATCTGTCAAGGGAACCTCACATAAACCCACCACAGCCTTCGGACACAACTTTAGCTAGCTTATTCTACCCTAGAAAATAGGACCTGCTAGCCTAATAGGAATACCCCTGACCTCCTAGCCATTTACGCCGCATTTCCACATGGCTTCTTCTAACACTCTATAAAAGTTGCTTTTGTCAAAAAAAAAAGTTGCTTTTGCCCAAAATCCCTCAGGGAAGAGTGTTTCACTGCATGTGAGGAGACACTGTATTCCCTCAGTCCATGGATTGTTTTCCCTTAAATGAAGGACATCAAACTCATTCCTTAATTATTTTAGTTTTGTCATTTAACAAAACAAAAGCACAAAGTGATGTATAGTTAACACACAAGGAAACCAAAATTAATAGTTCCTATGTAAGTATATGAATGCTGCTAAGGAGGAAGTACTATAATCGCAGAAGGTAAACAAAGTCATCCTCATTTGTACATGAAGAAATGATTAAAGGATAAGTTGAGGCGTATTAAAATTTTTAAGAGTTTATTTGAACAAAAAAAGTCAGGCAGTGCCAAACCTGGAAGTTAGGCATGCTACCCCAACAGGAGCTTGGAGAAAGACTTTCACAGAGAAAAAGTGGAAGCAAAACAAGGAAATTATTTGATTGGCTATAGCTTGATCATTTGCATTTTGGGGAAAAGCCAAATTGGCTGTTTGTGATTGGTTGTAAATGGAAGCAGACGATGCCACTCCGAAATATACCTCTTGGCCATAAGGATCATCTTGAGCTGATTATTTTTAAGAAACAGCAGACACAGGAGAACCTCTGAAAACTGAAGAGTTCGCCTTTCTAAGGAAAATTTACGTTCATGAGAGAAATCTCCATTTGTAAGGGTGCCTCCCTCTCTATACGAAGAAGAGAAGCATGACTAAATTATAAGAAACTCTTATCAGAAGAGAAGGCACCCAGTTAAATCTTCAGAACAACCATGCCCTTGTTTACTGTGCTTTTCCTGGCAACCTCTTATAAGGGGCCTTCTCACACCCGACCCAACATCTTTCTTTTGATTTTAGCAGAAGGTAAGATATTTAAGGTGATGGCTCCAGCCCTTTCAGAGTTACTCCATTTCCTTGGGTATCTCAGGAAATGTATACAGGAGGTATACATGTTATTAAACTTATTTGTTTTTCTTCTGTTAGTCGGTCTTCTATTAAGTGGGGAAGAAGAAGGGTCTCAGCCAAGACCCTATAAAGATAGAGGGAAAATTAGTTTTCCTCCCCTATGAAACCAAAATAGAACTAGGAGTCTCCTTCCCATCATATCTGGGAAAAGACTAAGGGCTGAAATACAAGATGTTTCTAAAAGAAAATGGTTACAAATACAGGGACATAGAGTATTTATTGAAAAATATGTTAATGAGAAAGGAGGCTTCTTTGAAAGAAGAGCTTGAATGTTTTAGTCTGCATACCAAATGATTTCACTTATATGTGGAATCTAAAAAACCAAAACAAACAGAAAAGAAATAGACCCACAAACACTGACAACAGACTGTTGGTTACCATAGGGGAAGGAGGGGGTCAGGAGGGGGTGAGATAGGTGAAGGGGATAAAGAGGCACAAAGTTCAAATTATAAAATAAATCAGTCACAGGGATGGAAGTACAACATAGAGAATATAACCAATAATATAATATCTTAGTATGGTAATAGCATAGCTACACCTACAATGGTGGGTATTTAGTAATGTATATAATTATCAAGTTACTATGTTGTACCTCTGAAGCCAACATAATATTGTATATCAACTATATTATGAAAACAGACTAGATAATAGGAAAAAAATAAAATGTTTGTGACTAGGAATAGAAGGTATGGATAATTCAAAAATCAGGAAAGTCCAGTGATTAAGAGCATGGACTTGCCAGATAGACCCAGAATCAAAAGCCACTTGCTTACCAGCTGTGTAATCTCAGATACATTATTCATCTTAAGTCTGTTATCTCATCTGTATAATGAAGGTCACATTAGTACAATAGTACTCACCTTATAACGTTGGTAAGATTAAATGAGAAAATCCATGAATAATGCTGTTAAAAAAATTCAATCTGAGTAATATTGGAAGATCTTACTGGCTTTATTCAATGATTCATTAATTGGGAAGCATCCAATCTAGCTGATAGAAAGGAGCTTTGAGGAGCTGTGCAAAATGTCAGACTTTTATAGGGCAGAAGGGAACAGGAACAAGGAAGCCATACAGACCAAAAGGCAGATTGGTTATGGCACCGTTACCTTTAGAAGCTGGCAGGAGTCTGTCAGGCAGATTACCTAACTAGGGCTGATCATGTGATTCCTGAGTGACTGGTTTAAGATTTCATTTCTGCAGGAGCCAAATAATTAAGTCAGTTTGATGATAAGGGGTTTAGCATAAGTGACTCCATTTTGGGTCTGTGGTCTGGTTTTTAATAATCCTTAATATAGTACCTGTTGTAGAAATTTCTTCTTTTTCATTATTATCATTGAAAGAGCAGGAGAGGCCAGTAAACCACCTCCAGTGGGGACCAGAGCTCATGTACCCACTTAAATGCTATAAACTTTAAATAACTCTATCTAGACACTCTCAGACCAGCCACTTGATTCTGAAGCCACTTTTTTCCTCTTTTGTTTGCTTGACTGTGTTTTGTTTCTGTTCCTCTTCATACCCTGACCACCCTTTTAATGGATCCTCATGATTGCTTTATCAGTCCTTTCTAGGGTTTCCTTGTAACAGCCACTTCCTCAAGAACAGAGCCACCCGAGGCAACACTACAATCAGATGTTACCCCAAAGTAAGAGGAAGTCTTGGAGGAAAAGCCAACCACAGATGGGGAAGAAAGGAGAAAGATTGATAGAATTATGCCTGCTCTGGCTTGAGGGGTCTCAGTCAGGTCCACCCATTAGCGCTAACAACTAGCCTTGGAAACTTTCTTTGGGAATTCACGTCTTTGTGTTAAAGCATTGTCACCTTTAACAACCTTTTAGAGATGCAAATACCCTAATCTATTTGTATCATTAACTTCAGAGAGCTCATTTGTTCACCAGTTCACTTTTTTAGGACAACCAAGTGCTGAAGAATCTTGATGAGAGGAGAGAGAAATAACATAACAGAAAGACTATTTCCCCGGAAGCTAAGACCCTTGACAAAGTGAGAGGCTTAGACAATAAAGATCTATTTATCTCTGAGGACTTAGGTGAGGAAGGGAGAGACAGACTTGATTTCAGCTTTGCTCCTCTGCGGTCTTGGGCAAGGCCCATAGCTTCTCTCATCCTCAGTAATGAGGGGGATGGACAGGATGCTCTTTATCAGATGGAACTATTGCAAATATTTTCTCTCATTTTGTGGCTTGCCTTCTTGTTCTTTCACAAAACAGAAGATTTGAATTTTAATAAGGTCCAACTTACCCACTATTTTTCTCATGGAGTATACTTTTGGTGTTGTATCTAAAAAGTCATTGTCATACCCAAGGTAATCTAGATTTTTCTCCTTTGTTATCTCCTAGTAGTTTTATAGTTTTGTATTTTACATTTAAGTCTATGGTCCATCTTGAGTTAATTTTTGTGAAGGGTGTAAGGTTGGTGTCAGGATTATTTTTCTTTTGCATGTGGATGTCCAGTTGTTCCAGCACCATTTGTTGAAAATATTATCTTTTCTCCATTGTATTGCCTTTGCTTCTTTGTCAAAGGTCAGTTGACTGTATTTATGTAGATCTATTTCTGGGCTCTGTTCTCTGTTCCACTGGTTTATTTGTCTATTCTTGTGCCAATAACTGGATGTTCTTTATGAACTCTAGTTGTGCTAATCTGCCCTTCCTGTTCATTAAGTTTAATGTTAATATAGATAAATATTGACTTATGTTGAAGAAGAAGTTTTTCCTCTAACCTTCAAAGTTATTTTTTTGGGTGGGTGGGTGGTTGGTCTAAGACAACAGACAGATTAACAGGAGAAAATAAAATTTAATTATGTATGTAAAGGGGGCCCCTAAGAATATAAGACCCCCTAGGCAGCAGGCAGTTGAGACTTACATGCCAGAGAATTAAGTAGAAAGGGTTAGAGTCTGGGCTTCAAAGGGAAGGAAAACAATTCACAGGAAGACAAAAAGTAGTAAATGTTTGGTAAACAAATGTTTGCTGGGCAAACAAATGGGACATAGAGAGGACTTTTAACAAACAGACTTTTCTAAATTCTTCCCTGTCTACCACACCTAGTTCATATTCAACTGTAGTTGCCTGCGGAGCAGACCCTAAATTCTTTTAGGCAGTTAGGTGGAAGGTCAAAGGTTCTTCCCAAGGCTTCTGTTTCTTAAGAATAATTAGCCTAAATTAATCCACATGCCAAAGAGAAACATTTAGGGTGGAAAATTTTGCTCTTCAACAGTCTCACCTTTGTAACTTCTCATAGTCCAAAAGCTAAACTGGTAGATTGTTTCACTTCATTGAACCGGTCTCTTAACTCGTGACAATAGGTCAGTTCAGTGAAACTCATTTCAGGAAACAGTGATGCAGCTGGGCTTGCAAGATTGGGCCTATGGTCCAAGTAATCAGGTATTAAATAAGAGACATTTCCAAGGAAATAAGAGAAAATCAATGCTTGGTGATCAGAGCAAATGATAAACCCAGTTTCCAAGTTCTGAAGGCAGCTAGTCGAGATTTTTAATTGTCTGACTCAAAGCATCTTTAGATGAAGGGAAGGCAGAAAATGGCAATCTGATAGATTTTCCTGGTTTACAGTTTGAATGTCTGATCCTCTGAATGGCTGCACAGCAATTGGCATGAGGATTATCTATTTATGAGCTACTGTGGTGATTTCTCTAACAATCATCTCATGTCATTGATTTTTAGTTTGTTAGGCTTCAGGATAAATGGATGTTTCAGTGTTCAATGATTCCAAGTGAGAAGGGTGGGAGGAAAATTGAAAGTGTAACTTGGGGAGTTGCAGCCAGACACTGGAGGAAACTAGAGGAATTCAGGATCTGCTCCAGTTTACAATGAACAGTATTAGAATATAATATCCACAAAGGTGTGAAATTGAAGCATAATTTTTTTCTCTTTACAATTACTCTGATTTCTACCAAAGATAGCCAAATGAAGATGAATTTGCTTGTAAAAAATAAGTCTAGTTTCAATAAAATTGGCCTGATTGTTTGCATAAATGCAGCAAGAGCAGTGGTTGGTCATATAGGCTCTTTTAAATCTGCTTTGCTAGAACTTTGCATAATGAGTCTCCAGATTGAAATTTTAACAGCCTCTGGAGACGAAGGAGCCAAGCCAAATACTTGCCTTCAATCTTCACCTGCCATACCTATAGATTTGGGCTAATTCCTCTCTTCTCAAGGTCCCCAAAGTATCCAGAGATTCCTGCACCTGAGTAAGAAAGAAGTGTTCTTACTCACTTGGTAATGCTGCTGGGAATGTGGTAAGCAAGGTTTCAGGCTAATATTTCCAAGGGGATTTATTGGCTCCATAAAGTCTACATCCATTCCTTAAATCTGTCTAACCATACCTGAGTCTATGCACATCTCTCTCAAGATGGCATTCCAGTCAAAGCATTGGTAATGTAACCAATGTTTCCAGTTGTGTCCTATCACAAGGAGAACAGATTCTTATTGAACTTATGCAAGAAAATATACTGCCATCAAAACAAGAATACTCACTAAGATACTGAATTCTTGTGGGATCAGGTAAGAAGGAAAATATAAGGGTTTCAATCCTGCTTACAAACAATTTACCAAATTGCTGTTAAGTCACAATTTGCTTAAAAGGAAAAGAAATTTTTACCAAGGTCAGTTTTATGATCTCAAAGTTATCAGACACCTGTATTCTAGAATCTTGTTGAAGAATTTCTTCTAATCTGAAGCATTTTGCAGGAATACTTTTATAAAAGCATTCAAGTAGAAGTAGAACTGTCTATAAATGAAGAGAGTTCAAAATGGCATGGTTAAAGGTCTAATTAGAGTTCCTCCTAAAGCAATTGACAAGGAAATTTGATTATTTCTGTGGCGACAATGTTTTAAGATAATAACTAGAATTACGACTAAGGACATCTCAGATTTTAGGAATTTTATATAATTTCTAGAAAGCATATTAAAAATATTTACCCATATAATATAATTTAGCAAGGTTTAATGTCACTTATTTGACAGTTTCCCATGTAATTAAACATATCAAATAAGCCTAATTAGTTTAATGCCTCTTTTATAAGCAGAGAGAAAAAACCTTTTGCAATTTTTCAGGGGTCCTTGAAAAACTATTTTGAGGTAAAAAAAGACTTCATTTAGTATTTGATTTTTGAGAGGTTTGTCAAAAATATCAAGAAAGATTTTTAAATACTTGGTCAAATAGGATTATAGGTCATTTGAAACATTTAGTTATCCACTTAACCATGGTGACAATTAAAGACTTTGCAGACAAATACAGAAAGTTTAATGGCTGCAAAAAGAAAAAACTTTGCCCTTTTAATATTGAGAAAATTAAAATTTCTTAAGTAATCAAAGACCCAATTAGGACAACATGAAGCATAGGATGTTATTCTGGTCAAACACAAAATTTTTGTTTCCTAAGCAAATTGCTTTAAGGGCAGTGGGGGAGAAAAACCTTCATAATCTCTTATCACGAGCAGACCAATAGTCCAAGAAGACATTGCTTTTTAACAGAAAGAAAAAACAAATTTTATTTCTGTATCAGCTTACTTTTAATATTAAGACTCATTTACTTAATTACATTAGTTTCAATCTTAACCAGACCCAACCATACATAACATTCCTTTCCAAAGATCCTTTTCCATAAACTTTCTACACCTTTCTTCTTTACATTCAGATTTTGTCCTTTCTTCTTTCTCACAACCAGTTTTACTTTAGGACAGACTTACCTTCTTTTTCCTTAACATAAGCATTTCCATACCACGTACATTTTCTTACCCAAAACATATTCTATTTTCCTTGTATACAGATTTATTTCCCTTATTATTTCTAGTAGTTTTAGCTACATATATTATTTAGAATTCTTAACTCTTAGACATTTTAATTTCTAGTGAAAACTAAGTAATAATTCTGAACTCTGTTATACCACCATTCTTTATATGGGCAAATTTATGAATACATTTCATACTTTCTAGGAAGATGTACTTCTCCATAATACAACCTTTT